TGCTATTCTATGTAAGAAGAATTCAACACCGACCAACTCTTCTTTGTAATATACATGATGTATATTTAAAAAAATTAAATGGGCAGTTGCGCAGGGACTGCTTTAATGGACATCAAATTTCATTAAATCTCAGAGTTGAACACTTGAACGACAATGACATTAGTACGACAACAAATGTTCATAACAGATCCATATTTAAGGATCTCATCAATAACATTAATGATAATCATTTTGAATTTGAATTCAACTTAATAATCGGATTAGCTATTACATTGGTCACACAATTAGAGAGTCTCTAGAATTACGACATTAATTACATCACTTATAATTCGTCCGGTCAGACGCACATACAAGTGAAAATTAAAGTGTCATATAATCTCATATTATACTTGAACAATGTTCCTTATCACATAATGATTATAAGTCATCATATGAGACAACTTATCCTCTAATACGGAACAAAAAAATTCATTGTTTTAATACATCATTTTATACAATCTTTACAACTATGGATTCTAATTATAATTTAAATCCAAATATGTAAATTATTCTATGATGTATTATCAGCCTCATCTCTATATTTAATACAATTATATCCTAGGACACATAATTGTGATCCTCAAAATAATATTTTTACTATCATGTATCCAACACCATCTCAACCCCGTGAGAACACTAGGAACACCTTAGACGACTCCCTAACAAGGTTTCATTATCCAAAAACCCATATCAATACAAATGACCTCTGAAAGGTTATTTTTGTGAACTAGTCACCTTGCCTTTTAAGTCTGTTCTTGGACTTAGAAACCACCTTCCAACCCTTCATTCTACACTCCTAAACATGTAGAAGAATCTTAGAGTCCTCCATATGACTTATTTAGTCATATAGACTTAATTGAAAGAAGGAAAGGTATAATGATGCCATTACCTTAATCTCCCCAGCTTTTCCTCACTTTTTCTTCTTTAATCTGTCTTTCTTGGACCTTCAATTGCTTGAGCTCGAATTTGGCTATGGAGGATGATGTTTGCAGAGTTCTCCTTGCTTGGAATGGTTTGGAACCACAAAGGATGGGGGAGGGGAGTGAGGAGACTCCTTTTGTCTCAATAGGCAAACGAGTGAGGGAAGAAGACCACCTTAGGTCAAATCTCACCCAACCATCACTCTCAACCCCCCCACACACCTTAACCCATGTTGTGCAGCCCCCTTTGTCAACTTTGAGCTTATTTTCGTGGGGTGGCCCTCACTCATGTGGGAGGTCATTCTTTTTGTCTCGGAGTGCACACTCGTTCTCGAAAATTGTATTTCTCGGTCTGTTTTAATTAAATTCCATTTTATCTGACCAAATAAGATATATATCATCCTCCCAATTATTATGGATATCTAGAATGAATATATATTGTTGGGAATATTTTATGATGTCCAATCTAGTTAAATATCTTTGTATTTGTGTAGTTATTAATTAAATGTGTAATATGAGACACAAATGTATTTCAACCCATTATCTCTCTTGTAAGACTTAAATTAGACATCCTTATGTATAAAAGGATGCTAACTTAAGCAAACCCCAAGTCTTAGAAGCTATTCACGCTCATATCTTTCTCGGAGCATATGCGGTATATAGAAGAGGGTTTTAACGATCAACATATCTCTATCATTCTGTGATTCTCTGCTTCTATTATATTGTATGATTGTTGATTGATTTTGGGACTATTCCCCAACATTAATTTAGTGGTCCTCAGTCAGTTATTATCTGTCAATTAACCAATATTGGTATATGGCCTCGTTTGATCAATTGACCAATTCTTTGTTGTTTCTATGACTCATCATGAATATCCACCATTATATATATATATAGGTTTTGGTTCAAATAAGAACATGATCTTAGGAGAGAAATGAGAACGAATCTAGACCGTTAGATTTACTTTGAGTGAAATTCAATGTGCATTAGATAAAACTATAATGTGCATTAGGTGAAATTTAAATGTGCAACACAAAGCGTATGATACAATGTCATTAAGTGAAGCTGAATTGTGCATTAGGCGAAATTGAAATGTGCACTTGGTGAAACTGAAATGTGCAAAATAAAAGGTACGATGTGATGTTATTTTTGTACATTTTATTCCGCACATTTCAGTTTCACCAAATGCACAATTGAGTTTAAATTTTTATTCTGCACATTTCAGTATCATGTAATACACATTTCAGTTTCATCAAATGCACATTTCCGTTCCACATAATACAATCCAACGGTCCAGATTCGTTCTTATTTCTCTCCTGGGAGTCCGTTCTTACCGGAACCGCTCCCTATATATATGTGTGTGTATATATATATATATATATATTATCTAGACCGAAATGAATATAATATGTGGTCCTAGAAATATTGGCTGCTCCCTACTCCCGGTGTGGACCCCACGTGCATTTCACTATTTACGTAAAAACAATAACAAAAATTTATAACCACGTAAATTTATTAACTATTTCTAAACGTTCATACATAATTTGGTAAAAGCAAATATACTTGGAACAATGTTACCGTGAGTCCTAGCAGAGTAGATAACCCGGTTCCCAACATATAATACATGTTCAATTTGTTGACATTTTTTGTTTAGTTACTCGTTTGAATTTAAATTGTTTGTAATTTATTTGAATGAAGTTCAAGATCAATTTCTTTGGATGAATAATGTAAACATTTACAAATTACTCGTATGACTTTATAAGCTTAAGTGAACCGTGTTCATCGTCCTTTTACCTTTTCTCTTAGGGTTATGAGTACAGATTAAATTGTTTTATTTTATGTTTGATATATATGCATTTGTTTTATTAAAGTGAGCTAAAAGAGAAGGCTTATTGTGGGGAAGAATATGAAAAATAACTTCAACAGGTGTGTGTCTATATATATATTTGCACAACAATAGTATTAGTGAGTTGTGTATGCAGTTAGAATAACTTCGAAAAACTTCTTTTTAAATAAAGTTTCATTCGACTAAGAATGAGTTTTTACACATGCTCTGTGTTCTTGTATTTTCAAAGGCAATAATTAAACTCTGTATAAGGTAAAAGAGAAGTCTTTAACACATAAATGAAAATTTAAAAGTTCATAGTTCTTGAAAACCTATATTCAGCTATTCGGCTTAAACTTTATTCATACTCCATCCGATCCCTATTAAAGTTCCCGGGGCCGGCCCTGGTGGTGTGCAGGGTGTCCAACCGCACAGGGCCCAAAAATTTGGAAGGGCCCAATTTTTTTTTTAGTTGTATACTACTACCTCCGTCCCACTATGATTGCCCCATTATACCTTATAGGTCCGTCCCATTAAGATTGTCTCATATCAAATTTGGTAAAGTTTGTGCGACTCTAAATCATTCTTACTTTATTCTTATTTTATCAATTCAATATCAACCACATAAACCACTTTTTATTAATTTGTGTGTCACTCCCTCTTGTCCCAATGTTAACGGGACGGAGGGAGTAGTATTACTTAGGTGGACTAGGGCAAGGCTTTGAAGCAGGCCTGGTTCGTCACTTCGCATATTCCTCATCTTCAAAGGAGGAGCGTGTATATAGGAACGAAGGAGTAGTAAATCCTCCGTTTCCACCGATGTGGGAATCTTAAGCTTTAGAAACAAAAAAAGAAAAGAAGCGAGGCATGCGGGATTTGAACTCATGTGAAAATAAAAGCATGCACGCTGATTTCCAAACATTAACCACCGGACCAAATCAACTAATTGTTGAAATACGGACGTGCAAGTTTTCTATTACCTATTTGTTCTACAAAATAAATAATTAAAATACCTCTTAATAAAAATCGGTTTGGTTCGGTTTGAACCGATTTTACAACTCAAAAAACCTTCATTAAACCGATTTATGTTCGAGTCCCGACTTTCGGGTCCCGTTTGAGTTGGTGAGGTTTCGGTTCGGTTTTTATAACTTGTGTTGAAACTTTGAAAAGAAGGCCCAATTTTTTTGGGCACAGGGCCTTTATTTCCTCAGGACCGGCCCTGAAAGTTCCCAGTTTGACTTCACATAGATTAAGAAAATAAATTTGAGTTTACTGTGTAGTGCACTGTTTGGCACTGTTTGACACTGTTTTGCACTGTTTTATTTCCTAGAATGGAAGTGTGAACTTAAATAAGAGATATCCCAAAAAAAAAAGTGAGAACTTTAATACGGACCGGAAGGAGTATAATCTGGATGGGAAAGTTCATTTTGAGGAGTTTTTGTTTATTGTAATACTATTGAGCTGGGATGAAAAAGAAATACATGACACTCTATGCTATTAAAAAATGAATTACAATTTCAATCATACAAATAGCAATTCTAAATTGCCACACCTTGTAAATATAAGTTCAGCTAATTAGCCTAAACATTCTCTTTAATATAATTCATAGCCTAAACATTCTCTTTAATATAATTCATACAGTTTTGTGGTATTTAAATTTAAATATTCCTTCTGTGAGTAAAATGGTAACATGTCAGGATTTTAGTATGTTACGATTTTAGTCGATTTTCGACATATTCACATGTGTGTCTAAAATGTTAACATGTGAGGATTTAAAAAAATCATTACTACCTATAGATCTATGTATTTAGACAAGGGCGGATTGGGCTCAGGGTTAGGGGAGGGTCAGGCTCACCCTCAAAATTTTGTTTTTTAACTTGTACTACTTGCGTAACGAAAAGATCTTCTTATTTTCTTCTTTCCATATCTGACGAAAAGATTTTCTCATTTCTAAATATTTCTCATTATAATCTCAATAATTTTAAAAATAACACATTATTACAGCTGTTCTTTTGGATTTGGTAGATTCTATGGTACCCTTAAAGTACCATACCTTTGTCCACATGAACCAATCAGAATGTAGGAGTTGAATTATTTAAATCTAAATTAAAAATGATATAATGATTTGGACCAATCAAATGAATGATAGCTACGTTACCCTAATTTTTAGATGAGTATCGGAATTGTGGCCATTTGGATTTATTCTTCATTCTATCACACAATTACATTATCTTCTCAGTTCACTATTCCTAAGCACAAAAATCAAAATCCCAAATACCATCTCCACAGACCATGAGACACACACAGTCCACGTAGGCGCTGACACGCAGACACGTAGACGCCCTCTTCTAATCACAGCGGCACAGCAAGGACGCAGACACGCAGGCGCTAACAGGTTCTACCTTCACCCTTCGTTTCTGTAATTTCAATTCCATTTTAGGCGCTAAGCTCTCATCTGAGTTGTTTCTAACTGCCTGTTTGGTATGAATGAAATAATGAATGATTCAATACCTATTTCGAATTCAATACATATTTCGAATTCCAGCTTTGGTTCTTGACTTATATGTGATTTTGTCTCAAATTTTTGTAGGCTCAATTTTTCTAGACCCAATTTGGTTCTTGACTTATCAGTTATCAGTTATCAATTATCAATCCCATCTCTCCTCTCACGTCATTCTGGTCTTCGCCCAATAGCCAGTAAGTCTGTTAATTGTTTAGTTGTATTGTATATTTTATATTCAATTTAAGTGTGTAAGTGTGTTATTTGTGAGCATAATTTATACGGAGTATTCCATTTTATTTGTGAATTGTGATTCTTAGGCTCTAATGTGTTATATTAAATTATATTCGATTTGATTCATGTGATTTGTGATTCGTAGGTTCTAATGTGATTTGTTATTATTAATTAGTGTAAATATGTAATTATTTAGTTAGTTAGTATTAGTGTAGTAACTAGTAATTTCATTGTTTCCAATAAAGGTAATGAAGAGATATTATAACCCTGTTGAAGTAGGAGCTGATCAAGATATCAATCAATGAAAACGCGTAGAGAACAATTGTAAAATTGTGGTTTTTTTTATTTGACTTTGATAAAAACTCTTATTCCTATAATATTTATTTTCATCTTTGATGAGTTTGTTGCAATAAATGTTATTTTATACTTGAAAATAAATTTTGTTAAATACACATGATTATATTACATATTGACTTTTTTTGGCAATATACTTGTTTAATAAAATTTGGCCCCCCTGGATGGCAAAGCTAGATCTGCCCCTGTATTTAGAGATCTGTAATACGTGGAAGTTCATGCATAGCAGGTTTGGGCTATATGGTTGTACTCTTACCTTTTCATCTTCCTTAAATTCCACTTGAAAACATGAAATAGGGACACTTAACAGGACTTGTAATACAAAAACATAATTGGACTGTAAATAGGAAAACATAACGGCTAATAAAATACGAAAGAAGGATGCTAGAATGTGTTTTCGATCACTTCTCGTTCTGCACTTTGATGCTTTCTATAAGTTTCTTGCTTATTCCAAAGCATCTTCATCTTCAAACCTTGCTGCCCTTTCCCATTTTTCTTGTCTGAAATGTTTGGAGTAGCTGTAACCCCCATGTCAGTCATGTAGGGTTGTTCATTTACACCAACCTTAACAATTTGCACCGACTAACACTCACTTCCTAAAATCATTATTAGCAGTAGTATTATAATATGAAATTGCTAAGATATTGAACCTCGATGAATATTATGTTGAATATAGTATAATAAGTAGATTAAGCTTCTAACCTGACTTCTCGATGACCCCCCCATCTGCTTTAAACCAATATCAACACTTGTAAGCTTCCAAATACTTAATGCAACTTTCATGTCTAAAAGGCTGAACAACTCTTTCTGTGCACCACTGTTATCATAAGCAAGTCCTATATATAAATGAATATTTTAAAACATAACTGAATCGTGAAGGATACATTCCAAACTATCTGGAAGACTTTTGATCCTGCTTGTTGTTGAAACCTGAATATGAATAGGAACGAACCAACCCTACTCTTAATAATGCGTGCATAATCTATGTATTTGATATAAAGTAACTAACGTTGAAATAACCAAGTATGTCCAAAGATTATTATGCGTGTATACATTATGCAGTTATGAAACGTTGTGAAAATTCAATGTATCTAATTCGTAATTAAATTGAAAACGTAATAGAAGTCCCAAAATGAAAAGGCAATTGTTTTCATCTTTTCATTGGACACTTATTGCTCGGTAAATGTGGAGTATCTGTATTGATTACATGGGTTTTAGTCTAGTATCTAGGCGTGAGGTAAACCTTGATAAAATATAAGTAATGAGTTAAGCTATGGTAGTAGAAACCTTATTGGGGACTGGGGAGTTAGGGCCTGTTATTATCCGATATAAGCAGTGTATCAATCTAAGTCATAGGATATCTATTACAATATTTACCATAATACCATGCTTTAACGTTTTACTTATACTCGATATATATTGATATCAAAATTTGGTCAGTATGTGGTTTTTGCTCTGCCTGTCCATTTGATGGTTTGGGCCAACCCGCTTGGTGGTCATCGGTTCAGACCGATTTGTCCACCTATTAGTTGTCTATTTTGACTTCAGCTGAGGGGCGTGTGAGCATCCCACATTGGATGTCTACTTGGGGGTTGAGTCTAGTATACAAGTATGATTTAAGCATCACCTCTTGAGGATCTTTTGGGCATAGAAATTACCCACATTAAAAACCTGATGTCTTATATATCAAGAGAAACAAGGACTGAGAAAAAAATGTAAAAGAATTTTAGTTGCCAATTTATAATTTGAAATGAAATGAAGTAACAGGCATAACCATCCATACCACCACTATATTTCGGAAGGCAACACAATGTTTTTCAAGTGATAACACACAATTCACCTTAAGAGCAATAGAACTTTATATCTAACAGTCTGTAAGCGAAAGTGAGGAGTCAGGTAACCTTAAGAAAGGTGTGGTGGTCGTCGTGTAAGCGATCGAAAGTGCCGCCGATGACAACTGCAGCATATGAATTTGGCGGAGATGGGTCGAGTTGAACGGCGGATTCCTCATAAAGTAAGGCTGTGAGAGAAGTGCCAGTAATTGTTGGCACGGATCTGGAAGCAATGTAAATGAAACGCCACACATAAACTTTGAAAGAGTTAAAAATATATAGACTTCAAAAATTGTAAAGTAGACATCTACCTCAAATGAGTTCAGATCAGATCAAGCAAGTTCAGATCAGATTATATCAGAAATTTCAATTTCAAGTAAAATAATCTTTAGTAAAAGAATCACTTAAGTTGATAAAAAACATGTACCTTTTAGTTTTCATAATAACTTAAATTGTATGCTCTCTTACGTGAGGAGTCAAATTTTTTCGTTTTTCCCTTGTCGGTCGACACTACAACATTAAATTAAGGGAGAATTCCCGAAATAAGAGTAAAAACGTTTTGGAATTCCAAAATAAGGTTGTTATTATTTATCCCTAAATAAGAATAATTACTGTCTAAGTTAGAAAGTACTGATATGTTTAAAGTCTAGTCATGTCAAATCAAGTAAGTAATTACTCCTATTTAAGAAATAGAAACAAGACAGCCCTATTTTGGAATTTACGAACGCTTTAATCTGTAATTAGTTTTTTTATATTTTTTTTATTCCCCAGTCAACTAAGATATACCACCAATCTCAAAATAGAGCAAATCTGTTAATAGAGTAGGTGTTAGTTTCAAATTAAACACGCAAACTATAATCTTCTATCCACTTTCCGTTTGTATTTAGGAGCAAGATGATCTTAAAACTCTAAGATCAAAATTCTGAATTAGAAATAACAACTACAAACCTTGGCTTCACCCCATTATATGTAAAAAGTTGAAGCATGGGGTGACAATAAATCCATTTGAAAAATAATTATGAAAACAGTCTGCTCTCGAGCTTTATGATGTCAAGAATGAGACCGTGATAGTAAGGGAGATATTTGCTTGGGCCTTGGGGGAAGAAGAAGAGATGGGAACCAACTTGTAGAAGTAGAATATATTCCAAATTGGGGTGTTTTGAATATATTTTTCAAATAAGAATGATAAACGTTTTCCAATCCCTCAATACATTCCAAATTGGGATGTTTGAAAAGTGATTAGTTTAGGTGTTGGAGGTTAGGATTAACACCCTCAAACATTACTAACACTTTTCAACACCCCAACCAACCATTAAGTGCCTTTAATTTTTTTGCTTACTTTTTTCATGTTCGAAAAGTGAAAAATCATAGAACTATTAGAAATATTATACTATGGTATTTATCTAATGCTAATCTTATTTTGCAATGAATTTAATTTCATATTAAATATATTTCATAATATATTGTTCAAATATATGAATAAACAGTATTTTGCTCTTTTTTATATCAATTTTTAATCATATTCAATCTTGTTTCCTTCATTACAATAGAGTTTTGTAATTAGTTTTAATTAAACTACATTAAATATTAATTTGAAGTACATTATAATCATTTTAAAATTAATTTAAATATTGTAATTTTGATGTTTAAAATTATTGTTGTTATGATTAGTATTCTTATTGTTATTATTTTAGACTGAAGTCTTTGGAGCACAGTCAAATCCTTCTCAGAGACCGTAGAGAGAGAGAGAGAGAGAGTATTTTCAGAGAAATGGCGAAGTCGTCAACCAGTAAGGATGTTCAAGCACTCTTCCAATCTCTGCGTTCTGCTTATGCCGCCACCCCTACTAACCTGAAGGTACATACATCTTCCTCCCTCTTATTTGTATGTTTTCACTTTTCACCTAGGGGTATCAGATAAGTGTGTAAATCAACAATTGTTTTTCCTTTGCAGATCATTGATCTCTATATCATGTTTGCTCTCTTCACCGCTCTCATTCAGGTGATTTGACTTTTTTGTTTTTGTGTCGCTTTGTCCCATTCTCTGGTAAAATTATTTGTTAACGTAATGTGATTGCCTATGAGTCAACCTTCAAATGATTCATGGTCAACACATGGAGTTAATCGCAGTTGAGTCCAAAAGATGTTATGATCTCTTTGAATTTGGGGTAGAATTTATTTCCAACTAGAGATTGTTATCTCAAGAGCAATACTTGACATCAAATAGGACATATAGATCCATGAGAGGATCATGTGGCTTGGTTAGGTGATTTTATAAATATCTTTTTCAGTAGAAATGTTTAACTTCCTGTCCGAGTAAGATCTTCTACAAAATGACATTTCTTTTGGAGTCTTAAGGTGCATCTATTACAATGTGTCATGTGACATGTGCCTTCCTGTACCGATTTTCAAGATATTAAGAATATTTATTTTCTTATTTGCTTTCACCATGGAAATGATACGTAATACAGTATATGATTGCTGTTTTAAAGTCATTCACACATGTTTTGCAGTTTAAATTTCTTTGTCTTTATATAATAGAATTAGATAAACAAATTGAGTCAGAACAAATATAAAATAAATTGAGTTTAATCAAATATCTCATTTTACCTCACGTTTTATATGGTTCCAAATTTCTCTTATACATTTTCTTACCCTAACTTTTATGAGTTCCAACTTCCAAAGGGACCCTACAAGTGCTGTCTCGGTACGGATAGATCATAGATGCTCTGTTTTTAGAGCATGGTTTTATAAAATAATTTCAATATGGTCTGATTTTGCCTTTTCCTTTGTAACTAATTTCCAACTTTTATGCTCATGCATTATTTAGCATCGATGCCTAGTTTATCTTGACCTGAAATATTCATATCCTTATACCCATTTACGTATCTGTAATTGTCGTTCATACTACCAGGTCATATATATGGCCTTTGTTGGAACATTTCCATTCAATTCCTTTCTCTCAGGTGTACTTTCTTGTATAGGGACAGCAGTCCTAGCTGGTGAGCACTATAATCTACGTTTCCACTGCAATTAAATCTTTTGTTAAGAATTAGCTAATAACAAAGGAATTTGATTCTTTGTTCACAGTTTGTCTTAGAATCCAAGTAAACAAAGACAACAAGGAATTCAAGGTAAGCAGTTTCTTAGCGCTCCTTAACTAGGCAAATCTTTTCCCTACAAAATGGAAAAGTGAGATATCATTCTCCTGTGAATTATTTCAAAGCTCACAAACCTAACTACGAAAGTAACTCAGAGAAATTGCGTTCTCTGGCCCACTTGGTAAGGGCTATATGGCTGAAATGGCCGAAGCTGCTGAAGTTACCGAGAGGAAAAGCATTTGGGTAAGGTACATTTTAGGCCAAATAAGTCGTCCACAAGCTCTTTATTTCAGAGATGGGCTGAATAGGCCTCATTTGACTACCACACAGAGTCTAAATTCATGACATTTAAGTAGTGGTCAGAATAGCGGAACTGAGAAATTATTGGTTCATTGGTTATTTTTCGAATTTCTTATTTGTAGAATATTCACAAATCATGATAATGTTGTATGTCTTGTGTTGTTAATATTTCAGGACCTACCTCCTGAAAGAGCTTATGCAGATTTTGTTCTCTGCAATCTAGTGCTCCATTTGGTGATCATGAACTTCCTTGGATAATTAACATCTGCCTTATAAAATTTTCTAAATGCTGCTTTCTGTATGTCATTAGATGGTTGAAGCATTAACATAGACATGTGGGGAACTCTTTAACATTATTACTCTCGTTTACATTCACCTTATGGACCAGTATTTGTGGCGTTTCTTTGTAGCAAATTTCAATGCACATCAAGTTAAAAGTAAACATAGACGAATACATCACTATACTTCATAAATATGCTCACTTGCTTTGGAAGTCTGGTTCTGACTTCATACCACAAAGGCACAAATCCTCCTGAGACTCGGTCTGGTCCCGGTTCCAGGCTGAGATCGCCCGGTCCTTGCAGCAGCGCGGGACCAATCCACTATTTTCTGGGTCTCGGCCGGTTCTGGGTACCGGTCCCGGTCCATTGTTTTTGTTAATTTTACCTAGTTCCTAGTCTGAAAAAACATCGCCAGTCAGGACCAAAATTGGGATTGGATTCGCTTGGTTTGGTCCTCAAAAATGTGAACCGGGATTGGGGACTCCTCTTGGGCGGACAGGGCCGGCCCTAGACTCGGAACCGAACAAACGGACCATGTCCGACCCAAATAAGGCCGGAGCCGGTTTTGGATCAAGCCCATGCCTACTCCGAGTAACATGTATTCTCAGGGAGGATGCTAAAGCCTAAAGTGCTAGAGATTGTATGTGCTCTTTGATACACAAATTTTATTGAGAGCCCACATCTCTTTTGAGAAGAGATGTAAGCACAAGATGAATGTAATTATGTAATTAGTGATCCACTGTTGATAAACGGTGAACATATCCACGAAAGGAGTAATCTACTTCAACAGTATTGTGTGATTGAGATTTATGTGACGAAAGAATCAACTTTAATTATACATTTATTACTTTAAATGAAATTAATAACTTTTTTAGATGACTAAAAAGGAAAAGTTATAAAGTTTGTGAGACTAAAGGAATATGTTAGTATGTACTTTAAAAATAATCACAGATAAAATCAAATGAGAAACAACTAATTAAAATTACCAATTTCAATAAACTTAATAGAAAAATGACTTCAATTTAACTATTTTGATATGTTTACAATCTAACACTTGAAATTTAATGTCTAGTAAGCTAATTGACTAAACCGTAACAAGACTAACTAAATACTACGTAAATCTTTAGAACTTTAACCGTACACAATTCTAGGGATGGACCCGGGCCGGTCCGGTTCCGGTTCCGGGTGGGCTTTTTTTGTAAATCCATGGGCCCGGAACTGGCCCGGGTTGATACCGGGTCTGGGCCTAACCGGGCCGGGCCGGGCCCAGTTCAATGTCTATTTTTTTTTTTTTGCTTTCTTGTTATCCCCCGACCCCCCTCTCACACCCACCCCCAAACCTCCCCAAAACACCCAACCCTAGCCTAGGAAAAGAAAATAATTGAAAAAAAAGACCCGAGCCTGGCCCGAACCACCAGGGCCGGTTCGCCCAAAACTGGGCCCGAGCCCGACCCGCTCAAACGGGCTAAAAGCCCGGAACCGGCCAACCAGTCCCGGTCCGGTCCGGGCCCGCATAGTAGCGGGCCGGTTCGGCCCGACCCAGTCCATCCCTACACAATTCATGTCATGCCCAATATCTTTGTCTCGCCATTTTGATATGGCACTAATTGGAGAGGTTTTAGGGAAACACATGACTCTTTAAATAGAAGCATATGATCTATAAGGGATCCACATCCACTACATAATACATCACCACCATCACACAATTATTTATTAAAGGGTTTCACTACATAATTGTATGGTGGTGGTGATGTCACAAAAGACCATATGACTTCATATGGGAGGCATGTGTGTTTCCTTAAAATTTTGGCACTCATTGTCATAAGGTATCCGAGAAAAGTATTGTACGTGAGAGTAGCACCTATTGAAGACAAGATGCGGGAGTCGCGTCTACGGTGGTTTGATCATGTGCGTAGAAGACCGAGTGATGCACCTGTCAGACGAGTTGAGATGTGTGGAGAAGAGGTAGGAAAGAGAGGGAAAGGAAGGCCATACAGACGTGGATTAGGGGAGTCTGAAGTGATATGCTTTTTCTTGAGTTAGATGATGATATGACTTTGGAGAGAGTAAAGTGAAGGGCGGGTATTTGTGTGGAGGAGTGATCTCATATTATCTTTTCCCTCATCTTTTTTTCTCTTGTTTTTTATCATTTTATCCTTATATATAAACATTATTTTTATCCTTTTTAGGATGATCAAATTTTTTGTGTATCATTTTTAGGTATATATTTTTTATAATAGCTTATCCTTTTTATCTTTATTTTCTTTCTTTTCCTTTTGGTGGTGATATCATGTATGATGTATCGATTCATGTTAGCCGACCCTAATATCTCATGGGGACTAAAGTTTGGATGTTGTTGTATGAAAGTACTAATTTTATTGTGGAAATACAATAAACCCAACTGCCCATTCACTTGCACCAAAAAATAAAGTCATGATTGAATTATTGTGAATACTAGTTACTCCACCCGTGCGCTGCACGGGAGTGAGACATCCACATAATAATTTAGATATAATTATATATTTAAAAATATTTAAAAAATATGATTGTGTTAGAATTATTTGAAAACATTAAATAAATTCTGAATAAAAGGTATGAACTAAATGTAAAACATCACGCGATAAAATGGATGTGCATTTGAATCCACCACACTATAACGAAAATTATAAATTACTCTATAGTACAAATTTCTTTGTAAACAACATTCAATGTTGATTTGGTTGGTTGTCCATCTTCGTCATTACAAACTCCAATTCGATGAACTTGTTACTCTCCATACCGCCACGTACAAATGTTTGTGAGTAATAATGGAGCATCAGAGTAAGATGACAACATTTTTCAACGATTGTCCGTGACTCTTATTAATGGTCATTGCAAACCTAACAATTTTAGGTGGAGAATGCTTAGGCGGGAAAATTTTCTCTCTCCAATGTAGTACTTTTAGGTATAGGATGAAAGTACATTTTAGGATTTTAGGATTATAGGATGATAATTTTTTTTTTTGTGGAAAGTGTAATTACATTTTAGGATTTTAGGCGGAGAATGCTTAGGCAAGAGAATTTTCTCTCCAGTGTAGTGCTTTTAGGTATAGGATGATTTTTTTGCGGAAAGCTAAATTACATTTTAGGATTTTAGACGGAGAATGCTTAGCCGGGAGAAATTTCTCTCTCCAGTGTAGTGCTTTTAGGTATATGATGATTTTTTTTTTCGGAAAGTGAAATTACATTTTAGGATTTAGGAGGAGAATGCTTAGTCGGAAGAATTTTCTCTCTCCAGTGTAGTGCTTTTAGGTATAGGATGATATTTTTTTTTTGTGGAAAGTGTAATTACATTTTAGGATTTTAGGCGGAGAATGCTTAGGCGAGAGAATTTTCTCTCTCCAGTGTAGTGCTTTTAGGTATAGGATGATTTTTTTTGCGGAAAGTTAAATTACATTTTAGGATTTTAGACGGAGAATGCTTAGTCGAGAGAAATTTCTCTCTCCGGTGTAGTGCTTTTAGGTATAGGATGTTTTTTTTTTTTGCGGAAAGTGAAATTACATTTTAGGAATTTAGGCGAAGATAGCTTAGTCGGGAGAATTTTCTCTCTCCAGTGTAGTGCTTTTAGGTATAAGATACTAGTATCTCACCCGTGCGTTGCACAGTTTGTAATACATAAACATTATAAATGTTAATATATAAAAACATCTATAAAGCATATTAATATAGTATTTATCACAAGAATTAGAGTAGTAAATAGATAATACTAAGTAACAAATATTAAAAGTTTAATTCGCACACACACGTTACAAATTTTTGAAGACTTACTTAACGAACTACTTTACAGTTTTTCCTTATTTCCTTCATCACTACACATCACAAAAGTTTATCTATTTTGCATTAGAATTGAATGGTTGTGCTTGTACTTAAAAAGTAAGTCTTCCAGATACGATCAACCAAAGCTTTGAATCGACTCCAAGGGACAATTCATAAATGCAAGTCTTTGGTGTTGCCCCGTAAAAGTGAAGGTGAAGCTCAGTGGTGAAGAGAGTTTATGGTCTTTTAATGAAAGTAGATAAAAAAAGAATGGAGGAAGGCGAGAGAAATGGATGAAACTTGATACCAAGGCCGGAGAAATTGATGAGGCGAATCCGGAAATGGACGGAGGCGAGAGAAATGAAAGAGAAGATGGTGATGGAAATAGTTTTATTTAGGAAATGCACCTTTCTTTCAATATCTCCAAAATGTGCTCTTATAATGCAATAAAATTTTATTGTCAGTTATAATAGTAAATTTCTTGCTAATTAGCACAAATTGGAGAAACTTGATTCTTTTGCCTAATGAAATATTGCAATCACAATTGTTGGAAGTCTATAGAAGTCCAATCCACAATAACCATTTTAAAAAATTAAAACCATTTTACAATCACAATTGTTGGGATCATCACTAATATCAAGTTTGTGAGGATCAAATAACAACTGAATGCGGTCACACTTGACAGCAAACCATGATGTTACTCCGGTAAAATCATAGCTTCTTTGTTTTGTTAAGTTGCTTATCTCCAGATAAAACTCTAGATGAAAAGGTTAAATTTGCATGGTGATCACAAGCTTTCTTTGGTATATCTCTCAAGTCAGCTTCATTTGGAGGATTGTACTTTTTATGATTTCTTTATTTGTTTATCCATTTTTTGCTATTTCCTTTGATGTTGAGAGTTTTGAGGGAGAAATCTTGTAAAAAAATCTTTGACTTTTAGATACTACATTGGTCTCATAAAGTTTGACCAATTTTCCATTTTTGATTGTCACAAAAAACTTTGTCACTTTTATTTAAACTAATGAATTTGTGGTTAAAGTTATTTCAATTGTATCTCCTTTGCACAAATCTCAACAACACAATTTTTATTTTATTGTTTTACGTGTAAATTAACTTTGACCATGTTTTTATGGGACAAGGAAGTATTAATAGTAGATTTTAACTCTTTTACCATTCTTTACAGAGTTAATATTTTGACATAAAAATAATTCTATAGTTTTCAACTCTTTAATTATTTGATTTTTCAATTACGAAGTTTAAGTTTGATAAAAAACAAATTACGAAATTTAATGTTATAATTTTTTTGTTTCTTTATTTTATTTTATTTATTTAATGTCAATAGAAATAAATGTGAACTTTTCTAGAAACATTAAATTAGGAGCCCGTTTGGTAGCACCAAAATCGGCTGATTTGGCGATTCTGTTGAATATATGAAGTTCTGGCTGAAGTGGTCGCATTGGCTGATTCTTCTGATTTAAGAAAAATTATTTTAAAATATATTTTATTAATAAAGTAAAGAAAAATCTTATGTATAAATAGCTAATTTCAATCTTACTTTTTCTACTTATTACAAATTCAACGCGCGAAAACAAAAGTTTCTTGTTTAACAAAAAAATTACTACCTCCGTCCCTTAAAACTTTGTCAAAATTGACCGGCACGGAGAATAATAAAGTAAAAACTGTGTGGTTGAGGTTTGTGCAGAGGAGAGAAATAACAGAAACCACAACAAAATTGATTAAAAAGGAAAGTGAAAAAGTTTTAAGGGATGGAGTAAGTATGTGATAAGTCTTACGGAGTATAAGCAAAAAAAACCAAACTTTTTAGAACATCTCTACTTCGACATATACATTATACCACAGATTTGCACCTTTCATCTTCGAAAAGTAATGTCCGGTACTTTGAAGTGCTTTGAGCTTAGCTTCAACTAAGCTCCTTCCCTTAAACAATGAAGTGCTCCGTCTAGCCAATATTGCTGCCCCACTTAAAACCCTAACCATTCCAGACGAATTCAGTTCTAATGGCCGGCCGTCTTCGTCGAAATGAAGCTGCATTGGAAGATAGAATCAGTCAATTGCCAGTAGACGTAATGGACAGAGTCTTGGAGTTCTTAGACACTAGATCCGCTGCCCGATCAGCTCTGCTCTCGACTCGATGGAAGGATGTTTGGCTTAGTCATGGCCGGCTTTTCTTCGATTGGGAATTCAACGAATCGCTAGTCAAAAAAAGCGGTGAACCCTCGGCTTCTTTTGGGAATATGATTACCAACATTCTCTCTCTTCGTTTTGGGCCTGTTAAGAAATTCGGATTACATCTCAGGAAACACTATCCAATCCCTCTTCAATCTGATATAGATAGATGGTGCCTATTTCTATCCAGAAATGGAGTTGAGGAACTTACCCTCCGTCTTTATTCTCGTGGTAATGAACAATATCATCTGCCACTTTGTATAGTCTCCTGCCCGACCATTAAGAAACTTGAACTTCATGATTTGGTGATTGATTTCCCGGTGAAAGCTCCACAGGGTAGTATATTCTCTGGTGTAAAATCTGCAAGTTTTAGTTTTATTAATTTTGACCATAATGCTAGTGGAATTATGTATTGTATTCCTAACCTTGAGAAGGTGTTCTTCACCTATTGTATTGGGAATAATTTTCTGATAAATGCTCCAAAACTGAAGACTGTGGAGGTTCTACACACTTTTTCGGATGTGACTAAGTGGAAATGGTTGGCTCATCATCTTCCGATGATTAAGACTCTTTGCTTGTCTACCTATTATGATTTGGTGAGAATATCCCATTATCTTCTTTACTAAGAGCATTACATTTTGTATTTTTGTGTCATGGTTGTAGTTTCAAGGTTCACTGTTTTTGTTGTTTTGAAGGGTGGGAGTGATTATGCAGCAGTAGGAGCAGCAAATTGGCAAGAGATGTTCCCTACTGTAATAAATCTTGAAAAGATTCAGCTGACACTTGCTTTTACTGAGCACTGGGATTTTGTTGTTCATCTGATTAAAAAATGTCCAAAGCTATGTGAACTGGGAATTCAATTTCCACAGGTTGTAACATCCAAAACTGTATGGTTTGAAGTTTGCCTGCTAATCTGCTATACCTATACCCATGTTTTTCTGTGATACTCATGTTTTAATGATCAATTCTTTCACTTGTGCTGTAGATTATTCCTCAAGCTGAGAAAGAAGCTGCTTCAGGGAGTTCAAAAGATCCAGAATGTGGCTTTACTGATCAGGATCTGGGCATGCTAAAAACACTGAAGATGGAATCATTTCTTGCATCAAGACAGGAAGTACTTTTTGTCAAAGCAATCCTTTCAAACTCTCCTGTGCTTGAGAAACTTGTTATCATGGAATCGTTTTTTATAGATGCCTCTGTGGCTTCTGAAATCCCAAGGCAGGTGCTATGCTTCCCCCGAGCTTCTCCCAAAGCACAAGTCATCTTCTTGAAGAACAAGTATACCCGTCCTGCCACCACCAAGGCACCAACTGTTCCACCACCGACAGACTGCCCCGCTGCCAACAATCTAATTAATTAATTAATTAGATTAGGGTATTAAGGATATAAAATTTTGATATACTCCGTATAAAGTAAAAGATTTAAAGTGATTTAAAGTTGACTCTCGAAAAGCGAATTAGAAGATCTTTCAGGGATGGAAGGAGTAAATTAGTTTTACTTTTGCTACACTATTCATTACTCTTACTCATGTACTATTTTTGTCTTAAACTAGTTACTCCACCCGTGCGTTGCACGGGAGTGAAGTACATAAAGAAAAATTGAGATGAATTATATAAACAAAATTGATAATGAATCAATCAAGTGAAAATCAAATAAAATAGAAGTAACATTTTATAGGAAATTTCAAAAATGCTTGAACTTAAATATAATCATCGTATGATAAAAAAGTTTTGTATGCATGTCCATGAGACGGTGAAGAGAAACTATAAATTATTATAAACTTCTTTGTATATAAAATTCACTGCACACTTTGTTGGTTGTCCGTCTTTATCACATGTCACGAACTTCAATCCTAATGGAGTTGTATCTCTCGAGACCGCCGTATATAATTGTGCATGCGTAAGAACAGACTAATTGGGGAGGATGCTATCCTTTTTCCGATGATTGCCCCCATCTCTTATTAATGGTTATTGCATAGTTAACCATTAATGGAATATGTTTGTGCTGAAAAGTGAAGAGGAGTCTCACATTGATGGTGTTAATGTAAGTCGAAGCATAACAAACTTTTCGTCGCCTTTTTGTTCGTGTTTCATCTAAGCCTCAATAATATGAGCTCCAAGTTTAATCACCACAAGTTGTGTGCCGTTGGCCGTTGCGCAATTAAGATGAATGACTTATATTTCTCATAAGCATCACATGAAGCCTCATTTTCAGCTCCAGCTCATTTTATGTTATTCAAGAGAATGTATCTCGTGTAAGAGGTCATTATCTGCGCTAGATGAGGAAGAAATGCGTGCTTAGATGAGTCTTTAATTCCGAACCAATCATGGAATAAAAATAATAATTCTGATTGCTCTAAGAAAAGAAATCAGAATATAGATTTAACAAATACTTCCTCCGTCCCCCTAAGAATGAGACAAAGGAAAGTGATGCGGTTTTTATAAAAAGTAGAGATATATGATTGATAATGAATTTTTGTTATGTGATTTTTCAGTTTCAATATCTTATGCCATAATATATGAGAAAAGATTGTATTTTCAAGTTATACCGTACAAAACACATGTCCATATTGATTGATATCCATTAAACATCACTATATTTGAAGAAAAAATACTCCCTCCATCCCGAAATTATCATCCCATTTCATTTTTCACGGTTATTAAGAAAATTGAAACTTTTGGAGTTAAATACACTTAATACCCTTACTTTTTAAAATTAGGGAGGGGGTGTTAGAACCGGTCAGTGCACAGTAAAAGTAAAGAGGAATAGTAAAAAGAAAAAGGTATAATGATTGTTTTCTTTTCCATTTCCCAGCTACCACAATTCGGTCCTAAGTACATGACCAAAAATAAATAGGCCAATTTCAGCCAATGAAACCTAAGATACAAAATGGAGGGAAATTTTGAGTCCCCCCCCCCCCCCCCCCCCCCCCCAAAAAAAATTCACTACACTACATAAAAGTCCATAACAGTCCACCAAAGCCTTTATGTCTACAAGAAGCCTTTATTTCTCTTCTACCGGCTTCTCCTCTCCTGTGTGGAAGACCTTTCCACATGGATTCTGCAGCCATTAATACTACAAATATCCAAGAAAATGTGTTAGTGAATGCACATGAGCCTCCTATTCATGAAAATAATGCACATCAACAAGGACATAGACCCAAAAATCTGACTTCAGCAGAAAGGAACATGATAGTCCAAAATCTGCTTTTGACAATAAAACAAGGTCCTGGTATAACCGAGCCTAAGGTTCAGAGAGGCTTAATCAACAAACTTATTGTGGAGTTCAATTGCACAAGAAGAACAGTGGGCAGAATCTGGAACACAGCAAAGAAGCAAATACAAGAGGAACTGCCTATAGATGTGCATAACCACATGCAAGGTAAGTGGGAAGGAAAAGCATACACTATGATGAAAATTTAATTGTAGGCATCCCTTTACACAAAAGAACAACCATCAGGTCTCTTGGTATGGCATTGGGATTGTCCAAGAACACAACACACAGACTGGTTAAGGCAGGTAGGATTAGAAGTCATACAAATGCCATAAAGCCACTACTGAATGATGAGAATAAGCTGAATAGGATGGAGTACTCTCTAAAACAGCTTCAACCACACTCTATCCCCAACAATCCTAGATTTCAGGATTTCTCAAATGTTATTCATATTGATGAAAAATGTTTTTTCATGACAAATACACCACAAAGATTCTATTTGGGTGCCCAAGAAGAAGATCCATACAGGTTTTGCAAATCAAAAAGATTCATTACCAAAATCATGTTTATGTGTGCTGTTGGCAGGCCTGTATTTGGAGAGGGAGGATGTGTACTATGGGATGGGAAAATTGGAATGTTCCCCTTCACAGAAACAAAGCCAGCACAAAGAAAGTCAAAGAATAGAGATGCAGGTGTAATAGAGACCAAGGCACTTAACAGTGTAACCAAACCAGTTGTGAAAGACATGTTAATCCATGTGATAATTCCTGCTATTAAGCAGAAGTAGCCACAGTTTGGTAACAAACACATCATGATACAACAAGATAATGCTAGGCCCCACATTAATGGGGATGATGAAGAATTTGGATTTGCAGCCACATCAGACAACTTCATAATAGAGTTAGTCAATCAACCTTCTAATTCCCCAGACCTGAACATTCTGGACTAAGGGTGTTTTAGGGATATACAGCCTCTAAAGGATAACTCAGCCCCTAAAACAGTGCCTCAACTAATTGAAGCTGTTCATAAAGCTTATGATGACTTAACTGCAGAAAAGTTGGACAAAGTATGGGTGACCTACCAAACAGTAATGCAAGAGATACTTAAGGTGAAGGGGGGAAATAACTACAAGGTGCCACACATTGGGAAAGATCACCTAGCAACACAAGGACAATTACCAAGGTCAGTGTTCTTAGACAAAGCAGTGTATGATGATGCAATTGCAGAACTGCAGTTAAGGACAACACATGTTGGATAATCTACACAAATTAATGGTAATAGCCTGTTCACTGGTGAAGTTGAGGAGGAGGATCCACACCTTCATCACTAAACAGGAGTCCAGTTCATTGTTTTTGTGTAAATGTTAGGCACCTTACCTCATATGGGACATTTCATTACTTGTTTTGCTTCACTACACATTTTGGACAGGGGTATAGGGTGTTATGTGTGAAAGACTGAAAGTAGTGTTGTAATCAGTTAAACACAAGTTTTTGTATGCCTATATTAAAGTGTTTTGCTTATTTAATTACCTAACCAACTTAGCAAGTGTAGGTTGTGCACTCCTATAGTGTTTAAACCTCAAGCAAATGCTCAACCATTGATAAATACCACAACACACATTTGTGAAGGATGAGCAGCCTCCTAAGCCCATATGAAATGGGGGTGGCATACACACCAACACAGATTAGAACTCCAGAAAATGCTCAACCATTCATAAATAGCACAACACACATAAGAGAAGGATGAGCAGCCGCCTAAACCCACTTGAAATGGGCGTGGCTAACACACCAACACAAATTAGAACTCCAGAATACACCAAAGCCATTCATCATTACCAAACAACACTTAAATGAGGGAATGTAAGCCACCATAACCCAAAGGATTTGGGGTGGCTTACACCCCAAGAGTACAGTGAACTCCCTTTAACAGGATAGGAAATCCAGCCGCCTTAACCCATAGGAATTGGGGGTGGATAAGAAATCCACAAAACACAGAAACTAGCACAAGAAAAGCACTGATAATGCATTTTAAATCCACCAAATAAATATGATAGGATTAGAAACAGTACTCCCTTATGGTCAGTTCTTGTCTCAAAGTGAAGGATCCCACTTAGGCATAAACAGCTTGAGGAAGCCATCAAAGAAAGCTTTTTCTTTAGCCGTCCACTGATAGTACAGATGAGCAACCAATGGTGAGTAACGAGAACAAGTTGCTACAACGCCATCGCCTTCCTCAGTCCCCTGACCCAGCTCTTCCCCATCCATTGGAAACCCTTTCACCCCGTCCGCTCGAACCCCAGAGGTGAGTTCCTCCCCTTCATCTTCGTCGTCAACACCGTCATACGTGTCTGGGACATCAGAGTACTCCACAGGCGTCACCGGTTCAGCATGCATAGAAAAATTGGTCAGATCTGAGCATGCCAAAACCCTAGAATCGTTGATTTTGACCGACGAATTTGATTGCTTGTGTTGCATGAGGGTATCATCACATGATTCGGCAACGACGGAGCAAACCTCTGTCTCAGAGAAGTCCATGGAGGTCGGAGATGAACGAACCCTAGAAACACCGACAAGTGTTGCACATATGAAGATGAGGGTTTGGACAGAAGAGGTACTCAGCCACACATGAAGGTTCGAGGGATAATTCACAGGTTTCTCAAGGATTACACAGAGCGGAGAAGGAGAGATTAGAGATGAAGGGTTGAAGAAGGTGAGATGAGAGAGGAAAGGTCAACCGAGATGAAATGAGAAGGGACGGGTAAAGTGGGAGAGAGGAGAGAGATGAGATGAAGTGGGTTGGGTGAGGGTTAAATGGGTGAGGGTATTTTAGGGAGTATAAGGTGAAGGGGTTTCCTAAAATAGAAATGGGACAATAATTTCGGGACGGACCGACAAGGAAAGTGAGACGATAATTTCTGGACGGAGGGAGTAGTTAATTGAATCAAGGTAAACAAAACTTATCCTGATTGTAGCTATAAGTAAAATACTATCATGCACCTACTGTTTATAAACAATTCTATTTCTTGTAAATCGTAGGTTTAAGAGAGTTTATAATATAAAACAGTTCTATACGTTTGTTTTTTTGAGTAAGATATAACGAAATGAATTTATTGTTGGGCAAATACACAATACTTGGAGAGTTTATAGTGGTTCGTTGAACCACTAAAACTTTAGAACCAATAAAGCTTGTCATCCAAAATATATTCTCTCTAAAAAATATGGAATTCAATAAAATTTTAAGGATATGGTCTCAATGCTTTTTAGTTTATTATTTTTATAATTGTTGAACGTAAAAATCAACCTGTGCCAGTATCATTCTAAAAAAATCAGAACAAATAACACTTCACTAATGAAGTTAAAAATTAAGTTCTATCGATTTTTCATTGAATAAACTACATGTAATTAGTGATT